GGTGCGTGGCGGCTCACCCCGAAGGTGTCTGCGCATCGCACGCTGGAAAATCGGGTGGGAGGGAAAGCGCCGAGCACCTCGGTGGGATTTACGGCGAGCTGCCCTGCTGCTGCCCTCCCTGCTTTAAAATAAATGGGGCGCGGAAAATGGGCGTTCAGAGCACGCTAGTGGCAAAACGCTGATTTACTCAGGCGAAGAAACTCGGTCAGGGCTTGGCTGCTGATGGCTCCTGGCCGTGTTTGCTGGACCTCTCTGGAAACTGCTTTAGGAAAGAGCACGATAAATGGTGTTTTCCTACTCAAGGAGGAGAAAGGAATAAACCTGGAAGTGTCGGGCAACAAAGGGGTCCCTTGCATGTACAAGATTTTCCCCTCCTTCCCCCCTCCCGTTAATTAAACCATAGGAAAGAGGGAGCGTGATTGAACAGCCTCTGCTGGCGGGACGCCTGGGAGGCGGCGGCGCAGCGTGGCGCGGAGCAGCGCGGATGACAAGGAAGGGTGAAGTCTGTGACGGGGTTACTCCCAGTTGGGGCTGTGTCTTCTGAGGGCTGATGGCTCGCCCTTCACTGGGGAGAGGAAAAGCCACGTCCCTCGCGCTTTGGGTGCTTCCCCGGCCGTTCGCCCTGCCCTGCACCCGTCCTCCCAACGCTGCAGCTTTAGGTGGCAGTCGCGGCTCCCAAGGCCGAGCTGGTAATCAAAAAAAAATGTGATTCAGAGGTTGGTTTCGCTCCAGCTCGGCTGTAACTAAGGACTCAGGCTTTTGCTTTCAAAACCACCGCCCGTTTGTAGCTGGACTGTGCCCAAAGCCTGAGCAGCGACTGCTCCCCAGCACCCAACCCTGCAGCTCGTACGCACACGCACCCCGCATCTGATACCAGACCCAGCAGACGCGTCTTCCCCTCTGCTGCTGGAAATCATCACAGGAGACTTAATTTCATCCTGCAAAGGAAAAAAAAAGAGAATAAAAGAAGCAAACGAACTGGAGAAGTAATGTCAAGGCAAGACTGAGCCTTTGGAGCTGGTTTCCCTGTGTGGACCCTGCCAGACAGCAATGCCCGCAAACCGGACACTTTGGACCCGGTGGTCGCCCGCCTGCAGCCCCTCTGCTTGCTGCCCTCGCACCCGCCAGCTGCTCGGCTTATTTTTGTCCCCTTCCCAGCAGCTCCCCAGTCTGGCCCCTCACCGCACACCCCCAGCCCGGGCAGCCACGGCTCCCGTCCGCCTGCTGCTGGGGATTTGATCACCTCTCGTTTCCCCGCAGAAAAGAAATTCTCCTGCTGCTTTGCCTCTCTTCTCCCTCCCAGGCTGTTATTACCCCTACTTACACAATTCAGAATGTTATTCCCTCCTGTCACCTTAATTTCTAATAATTAGTATTTGGTGTAATGCTACAGCAGAAGTCAGCTCTTAATGAATATTATAATAAGCACTAAATTATAATGTACTGCTCGAGAAATCCGTTTTGAAACGCAGCCCATTTAAAAGAAAATGAGGGGAGGGGCTTTCAAGCCATTTAGCTGGCTGGATGAAAACCCAAATCGAGTCCCCAGTGAGATCCTGAAATGACCACGAATACACGGAGAAAACCCTTCCCGGACCGGGCGAGGGCTGTCGGGGGCGTTTACTGGCCTGGGCCCCGGCCCTCACCGGGCTGGATGCGCGACGGTGGCAGCGACGTGATGCACCCAGTGGGGCTGGGATGCCGCATCCCGGGGGAACGAGCAATTACGTGCGTTCAGTATTTCCTTTACTCCCTGACAAAACGCTGGGGTACCGATCCACCCAGCGTGGGAGTGGGTGATAGCATTAATCAGCAAAAGCGCTCGTGCACTAACGAGTCCTCGAAGTCCCCGTTCGCACACCCCAGCCTCTGCCGGTCCCTCTCACGGAGCCGTTCTCCTTCCTGTCGTGGTGCAGCAGGTTCAGCCCCGTTGCTATGGCACCGGGGCACATCTGGGCATGTTTTTCTGAGCTTATCAGACGAGTCGCTTCTCCGGCAGCACACAGCAGCGTGGTGCCTTCCTGAACCACGAAGGCTCGGCTGGTCGGATCGCCGCGGTACTGAACGACCCAGCCCCACAGGGAGTTTCAGCTCCTCGGTCACTGATCTGGCGTTGGCGT